GGTGGTCCGTTCGGATTCATCACGAATGATAAGTCTCATAGCAAAGATAAGATGACCCACGAACCCCAATGGGGTTGTATATACGGGCAACATAGCCCATCAAATCACGGATAGTCACGACACACAAAGAGTCATCAGAAGGAGTGGACAATGGTGGTGGTAGTGACGAGACATCGGGTGGTACAATGAATATCTCGTCATTCTTATTCCATAGAAGACCCAGTACTTGAGCAGAATCTTCACCACAAGGAGATCCTATCTGCCTCTTCTTCTCACTACAGTTGAAGCCGTGCCGATCACAGACACGAAGAAGACACCTGACAGCCAAATTAAGGAGCTTTTCAGAATCTGCTCCTACGACTAAATCGTCCATATAGAAGCAGAAACACACTGGAACATTGCCGTTCTTTATCAGATGCGGATAGAGACCCAAAAAGTCACTGCGAGCCTCATCACAAAGTCGTTGCATAGCATCCAACAAACAACCAGGCGAATGTGGTGCACCCATGGGTGGAGAACGAAGCCGATAGAGATTTCCACGAAATGGGATGCAGAACGTATACGATGCACTGTCCGAATGTAAAAGCATATAAAATGCCATAGAGATATCCAACGTTGCAGCACATTGAAACATTCTAAAGCCACTGAGCGCTGTCAATGTACTTCGCAACACACGATCATCAACTGCCTTATGACCCAATCCCGATCCTATGAGCCCAGCAAAAGCCCGACCATCAAGAACGGGTCTTACTGGCGTGGTCCGGGAATTGGAATACACTGCAAAGTGTCGTAGAAGAGCTTTACAACGATGGTAATGCTCAGTAGGAACCACTTCAACGATACCATGCTGCAAATACTTATCAAAAACTGCAGCATAAGAATCCAGATGTCCTGACTCACGTAAACGGTCACAGAACTTACGATCGGCATCAAGAGCCTTTTTAATAGCGTTTAAATCAGGGATCACTGGGCGCTTACTACTGAGCCACGGTATATCATAAGTAAAACGATCAACTACTGTTGTACGACCTTCTAAATCAATATGGTTATCTTTGACAAGTCCTACATAACGAGTCTTATTGCAACCCTCGACATCCTCATCAACAATATCAAATGAGGAAACTTCAGGCTCAGTATCCGAGGCCAGAAGAGTGGGTCCACAGAATTCTTCGAACCTTGAGGAAGCCTCACTAGACAGTATCATATGCAACTCGGATTGAGGCTCCTCAGGCTCGCACAACATCATGAAATTCAGACCCATTTCCTCTGTATCCCCGAATTGAGACTCCGAAGCCGGGTGCAAATAAGAAACGCTGTTAGCAATTATAGTGGCATCAGCAGCAGCATGAGTCTGAATCCCAGCTTCTTGAGACTGCTTATCATCAGTCAAACCGATAGAACGAACAGCGGAGTCAGCAACACCGGATTTAAGAAGTATCGAATCAGGCGACAGATACAATACTAGATTCATACAACGTAGGCATGCCATACCCAATATCACAGAGGTAGAGAGAATCGGACTCACAAGACACCAAACTGGGATCACATCTGACTTGCCAGGAGGAGAAAAATGCAATAACACAGCAGTATTAGAGGTAAACTTGCGACAATCAGCCATCATAACCTCCACCTTCTCTCCTCTTGTATCATGTATGTAGCCAGGATGATCTCTCACCCAAGCTTCTGCTACGAAGGACCTTGCTGCCCCCGTATCCAAGAGAACTCGATGTTCTTGAGGTTTGGAATTAGAAGAACGAGAGTGCACCATCATACCAGCTGTCAAGGGTGATACACGAGCCGCAGTTGAGGCCGAAGAGTGAGCAAGCCAGGTAACATCAGTCGCAGGAAGGAGAGAGTACGCATTGGTCGTAGAAGTACCCTCACCTCCTGGCTTACTCTCATAAGTCGTAGGAGTGGCCTCCTTCTGCTGAGATTCTTGAGAAGGACTCGATAAGATCCTTCCTCTACACACTGCTGGTACATGATGTAATCCACCACACCGTTGACATGTGAGTTGCTTGTTCTTCGCAGCTAGTCGACAATTCTTCCCCACATGTCCTGTGCGACCACAGCATAAACACCGACATTCCAAGTTGGAATTTCCAACATACCAGGTAACTGAGCTGGACATGATTTGGCCGCATGGCCTTTCTCGAAGCATCTTAGGCATCGAGCTTCCCTTCGTAGTCTATCATAATCTATATAGGGCTTCACAGATTGAGATGGTAAGGCCAACATTTGAGTCGTCTCTTCATCCTGCCGCAGGATTCCTGCGGATAGGTATCCACAGTCTTTGCAATGTGAACTTCTGTCACTGGTGACCTCAGCAGCGTAGGCAATGTCTTCTCCATACTCTGAGTCTGCTGCTTATTGAGAGAACGACTCCGACTGAGGACCATCATACGAGCATGTTCATAAGCCACATTCTGTAACCGATAAGCCAGAATCCAGTCATTATACGGAGCCATTAGACTATTACATAGAAGGTCATATAACTGGTCATCAGTCACAACATCACCTTGTAACCTCAGTCGACTAGCATATTGATCCACTGTATACAAATGATCAGAGACCAACTCCCCTGACTTCTGTTTCAAGCTGTTAAACTCAGCCCTAAGCTTGATGATGTCACCCGGATCGTAGTACTGATGTCGGAGTTGGAGCTTCAAGCTGTTGTATAGATCTTCAAATCGGCCTTGATTCAAATCGCAAGGTGGTAAGGCATCCCGAACTTTAGCACTCAATGAATAAGAATCCAGATGTCCTGACTCACGTAAACGGTCACAGAACTTACGATCGGCATCAAGAGCCTTTTTAATAGCGTTTAAATCAGGGATCACTGGGCGCTTACTACTGAGCCACGGTATATCATAAGTAAAACGATCAACTACTGTTGTACGACCTTCTAAATCAATATGGTTATCTTTGACAAGTCCTACATAACGAGTCTTATTGCAACCCTCGACATCCTCATCAACAATATCAAATGAGGAAACTTCAGGCTCAGTATCCGAGGCCAGAAGAGTGGGTCCACAGAATTCTTCGAACCTTGAGGAAGCCTCACTAGACAGTATCATATGCAACTCGGATTGAGGCTCCTCAGGCTCGCACAACATCATGAAATTCAGACCCATTTCCTCTGTATCCCCGAATTGAGACTCCGAAGCCGGGTGCAAATAAGAAACGCTGTTAGCAATTATAGTGGCATCAGCAGCAGCATGAGTCTGAATCCCAGCTTCTTGAGACTGCTTATCATCAGTCAAACCGATAGAACGAACAGCGGAGTCAGCAACACCGGATTTAAGAAGTATCGAATCAGGCGACAGATACAATACTAGATTCATACAACGTAGGCATGCCATACCCAATATCACAGAGGTAGAGAGAATCGGACTCACAAGACACCAAACTGGGATCACATCTGACTTGCCAGGAGGAGAAAAATGCAATAACACAGCAGTATTAGAGGTAAACTTGCGACAATCAGCCATCATAACCTCCACCTTCTCTCCTCTTGTATCATGTATGTAGCCAGGATGATCTCTCACCCAAGCTTCTGCTACGAAGGACCTTGCTGCCCCCGTATCCAAGAGAACTCGATGTTCTTGAGGTTTGGAATTAGAAGAACGAGAGTGCACCATCATACCAGCTGTCAAGGGTGATACAC